TGGGCCAGGGAGGACACGGGGGGCTCCCGGCGGGCAGGGGCTGGCGGGGCTGCGCCGCAGGACGACCACCGGCCTCACCGGGCTGAGCCCAGCCCCTGGGGCACCGTGGCTGTACCCCAGCCTGAATGCCCCCAGCCTGGTAACAAAATGAAGGGAGAGACCTGTTCAAAGAGCACCTTGTTCTGTTCCGGGAGGGTTTCAGCTCCTTCTTCTCCTCTTCCGAGTTATCTGCCACCGACGTGTTCTCCTCGTCCTCCTTTTCTTCCCTCTTTATTTCGCTGGTCCCCGAGGAGACGCTGCTTCGCCCCAGCCCCCCTGACAAGCCTGCTGAGGAAGCAGAGCCACACATGGAGGTTGGAGGGGTCGGATCCACACGGAGGGCAGGGGGGGTCCCCAGGCCCTGCTCCTGCTGTGCTGCATCCTGCACTCATTCTGCACTGCTGGTCCGCAGCAAGAGGAGCTGGAGCAGGGCTGGCTCTGCCCTGCCACTGCTCCCTGTTATCCTTCCCCCCCACACCCCCCGAATCAGAGCCCAACCTCCCCCAGCAGAGCAGGGCCCGGGGGCTCTGAGCACCCACAGCTGGCAGAAGGGACAGGAAGATGTAGGTCAAACCTCTGGAAAAAGGCTCAAGGTAGAAACTGCCCTGCGGGTGCCGCAGAGAAGCACCAGCCTTGCGACAGCACCCGCCCGCCCCCGGGCTGCTGATGCGGAGGGTTGGACCTAAGGGGTGACCCCGGTCCCCCCGACAGCGGGCGAGCCTCAAGCGTGCACACGTGCAGAGCTGCCTTACCGCTGTACGTGTCCTGCTGCCTGCTGAGGTCAGGGAGTGAGCTGGGCTGTGACGGAAGTGTGACATGGTTGTGGAGCATGCTGGGATTGCTGGACAACCCGTCTTCGGGGTGACCTCCTCCCACCTACAGCAGAACAAGCAGAGCAAGCCTTGAGCGGGGGGGAAGCGTCGCCGTCAGTGGGGACGGGCACCATCACCCCGGGCAGGGCTCCGCAGACCAGGCTGAGGCACAGCCACACGCCCTCCTCGCACGCTCCCACCGCCCCGGAGTGCCGGCATGCAGGAGGGAAGAGCCAACCTGCTCCAGCATCAGCTCTCCTCTGGGGATCGTGGCGGGGGCACTGCAGAAAGCAGCTCCGTGCCCTGCGCATCAGCTGGACCAAGCAGAAAGCCCCTGTCAGTGCTGTCCCCTCCCCGCCGTGGAAAAGGCTCTCTCAGCCTGGATGCAAGGACACCCTGCCTGGGCTGCGCGGGTCCCGTCTCCATCAAGCACCAAGGTTTGTGCCACCTCCCCAGTGCCACCAGAGCAAGGGGCATCCCACCAGTGTGAACTTTGCTCCCAAGGGCCGGGATGCGAAGGGTGAGGGTCAGGCAGCCTTTCTGAGCCTGCAGCCCCCTGAGGAGGCAGCACACCAGCCGGGGACCAGCAGGACAGAGCCAGCCCTGCTGCAGACGCTCTTGTTTCTGCAACTGGCAGCATTTTGCAGCAGAGGACACAAATGATTCATTGCTCAGTAGCAGAGTCTGTGGAGCTCGGAAGGGAAGTACATCTGGTTCTCTAGAGACTGGAGACACGTTACCGTTCGCTGCAGCAGGCAGCCAGCTCTGCCAAAAACACGCTCCTGTGGTCACCAGCCTCTGGACAGGGCAGGACCCTGGTGACCCAGCACGGGACCCCAGCACCCACGTGCTCAGGGGACCCGGGACCCATCGTGCTCCCTGGAGCCTGAAGGAGCCGTCACACACCAGCACCCCCCCCGCGCACGGAAGGACGCGGCGCCTGCCCGAAGGCCCAGAGCAGTTCTGGTGATACCCAGCTCTCCATACCCATGGTTCTGCCCTGCACTGGATCCCTCTCCACCTCCCTGCAGCCCCTGCGGACGGCTTGAAGCTGTTTTGAGGGATTTCCAGCCATGGTGCAGGGAAAGAAGGGCTGTGACCACCTCTGCCTGCCCCAAGGGACACGTGGGGCTCGTGCCTGAGAGCCGGCACTGTGCTGAGCACGGATTCACCCCCCTGCACGAACACAGCCACAGTGCAGCACCTCGTGCACATCACTGCTCAAAGCTCTCAACAGCTGACCCAAGCTGGACCACACGGAGCCAATTCTCACCCTAAAGTCAGCGTCCTTCTGGGGACCCCGCGATGTGGGTCCCCCCACAAGCCCCCACCAGCTGCCACGATGCTTCTGCACTTACCAGACCCGGGTGCCTGTTCCCCAGGGACATGACCGAGGGGGGGAAGGCCTGGCCCAGGCTGCCCACGGTGGCACTGTGGGCCGGCGCTGAGCCCAGGAGCCCGTGCATGTCCCCGTGGTTGCTGGGCATGGCAGCGGTCTGGCCCACAGCGTGATTCCTCAGCACGTGGATGGCTTCGTCCAACCTGTCTTCCATTTTGTTTTGCTTGAAGGACAGGACAGAGAAGTGGGTCTGTGTTAACGCCTGTAGAGCCAGCAGCCCGCGGCAGCTCTCTCCACTAAGGAACGGCAGCAGTCACGCACTCAGCTGCCACAGAGCAGACACGAGGAGAAAGAACCCCCGACCCAGTCCCCGACGTCCCCCGAAGGCACAAAGGGGTCACACACGTGGAACTGCGCAGGAAAGGGAGGCAGAAACCAGCCAGAAACCCGTTTGGTTTGGGCCAGACCCACAGGGATGTGCGTGGGCCATAAACAGGGGGAGGGTGCAAGGCTGAGCCTGTGTCAGCAAGGCTGGGCTTAGGGCAGTCCCAGCCCTGCCCAGCTGCTTCCAACCAAACACCCCGCGACCGGGCCACCAGCCTCCCTCCGGCACCGGGCGCTTATGGGAGAGGGCGTTACCCCGAAAATCCTTTACTGCCACGCACGAAGTGGGGGGAGAGGAAAGGAGACACTTACCAAAGTGTGGAGGCTCCCTTCGTAGCTGGGAGATAAGGCACCCTGTCCGCTCGCTCGCGACCACTGGGATGTGCCTGCGAACAAACAGGGAGAGCTTGGCACCGGGCACGGCTGCCACTAGATGGGGCTGGAAGCTGGGCCACCACGCTGCGCGCGGGCCACCATGGCACGCACAGCACTGCAGGGGCCACCGCAGCACCGCGTGGCACCGCATGGGCCACCGTGGCACCGCATGGCACCACATGGGCCACCATGGCACGGCATGGCACCACATGGGCCACCGTGGCACCGCATGGCACCACACGGGTCACCAAGGCACTGCACGAGCCACCACAGCGCAACGTGACACTGCACGGGCCACCATGGCACCGCATGGCACCACATGGGCCACTATGGGATTGCACGGGCCACCACGGCACCACATGGCACTATGGGCTCACCTCTGCTCAGCCTCAGCAGGAAACTGGGCTCAGGCCTTCAGACCTGGAGCGGGTTTTAGGTTTCTCTGACGGCAGCGACGGGCAGCAGCACGCGGCTGTGCCCGGCTCACCCGGCCCCGCGGCAGTGCCAGGGCTGGGGGGTCTGTTGCTCCGCACCCCAGGCACCGAGGAGCCTCGGCACCAGCTCTGCCGGGCAGAAACGAGCCCTGTCCCACCGGCCGGGAGCACAGACAAGCTCTCACCAGCACCAAAAATGTTTTTTAATTACTTGGCTGCTTCCCAGTTCCCACTGCACCCCTCCCACGGGAGAAAACCAGGGGAAAACTCTCTCAGCCTCTCCCTGACTGGGCACCCAGGGCCAGGGTCTGTCTGGAGGCAGCAGCGGGTCCCAAGGGTGGCAGCGATGCTTCCACTCACGGACGTGCTGCTGCTACCGTGTGGGCCGGGCTCCTGCCACCCGCTGAAGCTCACCGGATCCCAGAATCATCCCGGTCGGAAAAGCCCCTGCAGCTCCTCCAGCCCCACCATGACCCCCCCCCAGAGCATTCCCAACTCCCCCAGATCCCTCAGCGCTGGCTCAGCCCGACTCTTCAACCCCCCCAGGGATCCCGGGGACTCCCCCCTGCCCTGGGCAGCCCATTCCAACGCCCAACAGCCCCTTCTGCACAGAAATCCTTCCTCAGAGCCAGCCTGACCCTGCCCTGGGCAGCTTGAGGCCATTCCCTCGGGGCCTGGCGCTGGGGCCTTGGCTCCAGAGACTCATCCCCCCTCTCTGCCCCCTCCTGGCAGGGAGTTGCCGAGGGCCAGGAGGTCTCCCCTCAGCCTCCTCTTCTCCAGACT